ACACAGCTGCCATGACTGTGCTGAACGGTAGCAGGTGAGATCTGATTGGGTGGCTATGACTTTTGCCCTATACGTAGGTAGTCGAAACGCCGGGTTGGCCACCGGACGGGTATTACTGCACCGTCGTCCGAGACCGCCTATCTTTCAACAAGTTTTTCTCCGAGTGCCGTCACACTATCCACGACCGGTGGACGTGCCAATCGACTTCTAGCTGTTCATCCTCAGTGCTTATTTCACCTGGCGCATATTCGGTAAAGTCCATGCCTTCCAGAAGTTGTTTCTCACAACTCCACGCTCAAAGTATTTTGCCTTCCGACACAACGGCTTTGAGTACAAGGGCGGAATGAACAAGAACGTTTTTACTGTATGTTGTCAGAATAGCATTGTCGACAAAAAACAAAGGAGACTGGGATGACCATTTCTGGCCAAACGTGACCGGCAGGACGAGCAATGAGCTTCTAACGAGCAGGTCAATGGAACAAGCCTCTGGGGTTGCACAACTCAGAGTTGGGTACGGCTGGCTGACGGCGGCTAATTAGCTTGCCTTTGTCTCCCTTGCCTTTGTCGGTAATGCTATTCTGCCTATATTACGCACCGTTGCGTGGCTGCTAGGGAGCTCAAGAGAGAGGGAGCTCTAAGGTGCAACGGAACGTGTGACTCCCGTAACGCGCTCGATGATCACCCGTCTACTGCTGTGTGGTGTATATTTTATCCTGGCCGGTCTTTTGAGGATGCCTCTTCATGACTGTCTGCTTGCACCCATATACCACGACGGATGGAATCAGTTTCTTACAACTAAGCCCTTGATTTTTTACTAGATTCCGCAGTTTTGATTTTTTGCAATTTGCGTCACAGACGTTGGGAACCAGAGTTTCGGTGAGACAGACCTGTCTGGTTGACGCCCCTTTTTGTTCGCCTGTGCAGATATCCCACGGTGATCTGGCCGCTAGGAATGTCATTCTCGCCGGCGATTTCACCGCGAAGCTCTGCGACTTTGGTCTAGTCCGGTCTTATGACGACTCACCGAAAAAGGTACGTATACCATGTTGCTTGTCCACGCAATTCGTTCGATGACCCTTGCTGACACACGCATCTCCGTCCACTGTCTTTTACAGACAACGTTTCGATCTAAACACACGTGGGTAATGGTAGGTTGTAGGACCCTAAGAGGCCTATCATACACAGACTTTCTACTGTACTTGTTTCGGTACGCAGTCACTGTTTGGACGCTCCATGTGAGGAGGCCAGTGCAGACACTTCCCCGCACTCAGCCCACACTTCTTTTGACCCTAGTTCACATAGTCGAGACGCGATAGTAACACTTCGCAGATCCTTCGCAGAACCTTGATATGCGAATGTCTCTGATGATGGATTCGAGTAAGGATCGGAAACGTCAGACAAATATATTTCTTGTTCCGGTGATCGCATCTTCATCTTCTGAGTAACACTTCGGTTTCCTACTGGCATCAGGGTCAATGCGGATACAACCTTGCACTGCACATTTACTTTACTTAAACTTAGGTCAGATAGTCGAGAAGCGGTCAAACCATCCTGGCTCCTTCCATGTACCAGGGCGAGTGCAGACACTTCTCCGCACTCAGCCCACACTTCGCCCAATAGATGTTTACTGTTTACACTGCAGTCTTTGCTTATTTGGGTGATTTTCAACTTGTACATATATGGCTGACCAATTATCCCTACGCAGCCTATGGTTTCTTAATTTTCCGTCTAAACATCGTTCTACACTTTTCATTTGGTATCTTTAGTAGCTTACAACAGTATCTGTTAATACTTACATTACTCTGCTTTCGGGGATTGTCTGATTTGGGTTCGCTATCGAGCACTCAAAACCAGTCGGAGTGGAAACATCACTTATCTCTCGTCGTTCCTATTGGCTGGAATCGCCTTGGCTGCCTGACTGGATGTAGACTTACTATCGGCGGCTTATTTAAAGCCCGCTTCTTCTTGAAAACCATTTTTTTGTTTGTTTTTTTGATTATCACTCTAACTTTCCGTTGCTATACAGCAGCCCACCTTAAGTTTCACGGCCGGAATTCATTTATTTTCTGCGCTTTCTCGGACTTCACCGTCCATCCTACGCGCGTGATGCCCCATCCGTAAAACCCCCATTACCACTTGTCCTGCAAGATACGGGTAGCGATCTATCTTGGGATCCTACAAGTCACCGATGCCCACATGTGTGTTCTAGGCCATATTCAATTTCAGTTACCTTTGCTGCCTCCGATAGGTCTCACTGGACCGTCTGCCCATCCGTTGGTCCGCTCCAGAACTACTGGCCAACCCTCCGATATGGCATCCGAAAAGTGATGTCTGGTCCTTTGGAGTACTTCTGTGGGAAATCTTTTCGTTGGGCTCAACACCCTATCCCACCTGTGCGACGGAGGAGGCAGTGGCCGACCGTGTTCTTTCCGGTTGGCGTCTTACAGCGCCCACCTTTGTTCCCCGCCAACTGGAGAGCCTGTTCAGTCACCTCTTGTCGTCCTGCTGGGGTGCGGTGGGCCAACCGGACAGCCGACCTCCCTTCTCTGAGTTACTGCTGTTTCTGCGTCAGCTGTTGGTCCTGCTAAAATTGCCACCGGCGCGTGCCTCGAATGTAGCTGTAAGTTTACATCCACACAGTGCTGCATCCTATGTGCCGCGCACGCGTCGTCAAATGTGCGTGGATGTTTTTCCAGTTTTCCCGAGTGGGGAACCGGGGGATTGGGTGACCAATGAACGATGTTATTTCTCCAAGAAAAAATGCTTACTGGGAATCGAAGAAGTTTGTATGCAAAGCGTAAAGCAGTAAATAGGTTATCCTGGGGATGAGACGAGGTGAGTGTTTTTTAAAAAGTACAGACAACTAGATCGGTCTACAATGGCCAAAGTCGTTTTGGACCGAGTAGCGGCTGGCCCAGGCTTAGAATAGAAGACGATGACTAGGGATTCCCTCAACGCCTGTATCCTTACCTTTTGGTTAGAGCTTTTGGAGTGTTATCTGGCGTCCTTCGAACAATAACCTATTCCCCTCTCAGGCGGTCTTATCACCGCATCCCGCATGTCACCAGACTTCTTGGTGCACATGTTGTCTTTGCCAGCTGATGAAGAATGCTTGCTTTCAGACTGTTGGTGATTACGTCTGACCCCGTAGGACAATAATGTCTACTTATTTAATTATTTGCCGCAATGAGTAGACAGGTATTAGCCTAGACACGTGTGTTCCGTCGATTTTGTGCCGTTGCCTGAACAGGTCTGTTTCAAAGCAGTTACTCAAAGTTTGCCCATTAATCTCCTCGGACATTAAACAAGGCATGTCTCCTTAGTGCGTTTCTGCGCTAACGAGTGACGTCAGTAGGCGAGTACAGAGAGGGACGAGCTCAACTTCGGCCAATCAGCTAACACCAGATTATGTTAGGCGCCAAAACCTGCGCCTTGCCTTGCGTACCTCAGACGCTTGCCAACGTCCAAACTACTGTTTGAAATCTCCAATACCATCTCGCTGATATGCTAACTTAGCCCCCGCATACGTTCCCACGCTATCTGCGGGTCTATGTAGGCGCACCAGCCAACTTCCAAAGAAGGCTCCCTGTATGTCTAGAATGCAGGTTACCCCCAGCGTTGTTTTCCTGATCTCTGACTTAAGAGAGATAGGTGCAGAAGCGGTCTTAATGATTACGACACACAATCTACTTATATTTGTCAACCTATTGCCCGAATAGCCCTACTGATAGTGCAAATAATCGGAGTCTAATCAGTCCTGCCGGAATTCTCTCTTCTGTCATCTGTCGTCCTTTCTGGCATAGGGCCGTCGAGATAACTTACCCATCTTCTAACACGAGAGACGATCTCCCCCCGTCTCTCCTCCCCCCTCACACCGAACATACTTCTGTCACCGTTTCCAGAACGCTCTATA